CTTGGTGTTACTTTACGTTTGCTCCACTGCTTCCAAGTTCAGCCATAAAGTAATTATAACAGCTTGTTTGCATTTCGTGAAAACTAATTGACTTGAGTTCAAGAAACTAGTTACTTCACCGAGAAAGTGTTCATGGTAGAGAACTTAAGGTTTTAAGGTTAATTTCGAAATACTGTACGTTTGCAAAAATAGTGAAAAATTCGCTATTTAGATAACCAGATCGTCAATTCTGGGCTTGGTAAATCTATTTTTATCCAGAAGCAAGGACTCGTGTCTACCACCTTATTGAAGGTGTTTTTTACTAAGCTTCGTTGTATCCAGTGATATTTTTCCATGTGCGCTAATTCTAATAAGTTTTCCAGATCTTTCTAACATCCCATTGTACCTTATTTTGTACTCCATATCTTGATATCATCTCGTTCTTATGAGGCTAGTGACAGATGAAAGTTTGGAAATTCATAAAAAAGCAGGAAGATATACTCCATAAACTCACCAAATATGTTTGTCATACGGCGTAGAGCTTACCCACACTTTATAAGCCCCCAACAAGGTCATTTGTGCATATAAGCAATACTAACTGAAAGCAGAAAAATGTCACTGTTCTCCTAAAGTAACATGTACCAAAATATTATACTGCATTGTCTGGAAGTTTTTAACTTTAGTCTTCCTTTATCTCTTATAGATTATAGTCCTGGTTTGGGAACAGCCATTGTTATATCTGTACATCCTTACCTTGCCTTCATATATTAACGTTCCTACAATTTAGGCACTAGCTTTCCAACGAGTCACATAATGTTAGAAGATGAGTTCGCTGAGCTGGATGTAAGTGTTTTATTATAATCATGCTTTTTCCTCAGCTAAATGAAAACTCAGAAAACATCTTAAATGTATCGTTAAATTCTGAGTCCTGTCTGCGAACTGGATTTACACCTGAACGAAACGTTGCACATGACTCATCACCAGCTGACATTAGAAAAGATACTGAAGTATGTTCAGCGTTATTTTAGTAAAACTCAGAATACTGTTTCCGATGTCGCATTTGTAAAAATCACAAGCCCTGAAAAAGTTGGTGGAGGGATTTCATCATACATAGTATATCGTGTCATTACCAAGGTTCGTGATTTAAATAACCTTATTTTTAAGTTTAATGACAAGGAGTTTTCAGTCCTCAGACGGTTTTCTGATTTCCTTGGGCTTCACGAGAGGTTGGTCTCGAAGTATCTCTCTGAAGGAATTATCGTACCCCATGCTCCTTCTAAAGATATGTTAGGTAATGATTTAGTTTCGTCTTATATTCTTCAGCTACAACTAAAGTTAAAATATCGAAGGACGCTTCTACAGAAAATGAGTTTGTTGAACGTCGTCGGATAGCTCTAGAACGGTAAGAATTTCGTTAGTCATTTCACAGATTTCTATCCCGAGTACTCTCACATCCAGTTTTGCGTATTGATGAATACGTTTGTGAGTTTATTCAGCATGATGGAGAACTTCCACGTGCAACAAACACCCAACTGTTATCCGGTGCTGCAGCGATAAAAGCGATGAAAAATTTGGGTGGTGCGATTGGAAAGCTTGCTTACAAAGTTGATGACCCGGAAGAGGTAAGTATTAAAAGATTTCTGAAGGTTAATGTGATATTCGATAGCATGACAAATGTTATCCGTTAATAAATATAGAGAAGTCTTCTTCATCTCATATAAGGCTTTCGGATAGACAAAAAGGCTATGTAAAATGTTCGAAAATTCCTACCATTATAGGCTTAAAGGAATCCTAGCGCCTAATAAACTATTTTGTTCAAAAGAACAGTTTATAAACGTAGTAATAAAGAAGATACCTGAGTCATTTATCGCTTTAATGTAACTAAAATTAGTGGTGCTACTCACGTAATTTCGTTGCTCTAGTGACCATAAAATGCCGTAAAAGAACTGATGATACTATCTGTTCGTCCGAAACCTTTTGAACGGATCGAAACTAGAACGCTTTACTCTGTAGCTAAAAATAGTTTAGCTAAACTTCGGAGCCGTGCATCACTGCCTAATGTATTCGAAAGTACGATGTGTATGATGTGTTGATAATGTTTTCGAGTTTACACATCAGATGCACCTGTTGCGGAAATCATGTTAATCATTTGCCAATCGCATGATTTTGTATACTCGACTTTGACCCATATTCTCTGTGAGAATATCGATAGTAGTTGGATACCTACATTGGGATAAACAGGATGGCGTCAAAACTTACGACCTACTGTTTGAAAGCCAAGCGCCCCAATCACCTAGCTAATACTATGTAAATGGAGTCCAGCTGATTTCGCGATCTCTTATGCTTATAAACTTTGTCAAACAGAAACATGGAACACGATATTCTATGTTATGAAGTAGTTCATATCACATGCATCTCATACAGTAAAAACATGCAGTGCAAAATGGTGCAACTCCGCCAGTAGAACCTTCGGGGCTACTGCCTGTCCCAAGCCCGGATAAAGGAGGAGGGTTGGGCATGGGGTTGGCAACCCCATTCCGTCAAAAAGTAACTTGCCAAAAAACGCTAACCAGAAAAAAACTGGTGGGCGGCCTATGCTCCATTGGGGGTAACAGGCGTAAGTAAGTAAGTAAAATGGTGCACAGTAATACACTAGTTCAAATCACTTCACAATATCAGATGGAATGAAAACTAACGATACAAAAAAGATGCAAGCAACATTGTACAAATAGATAAAAGATATTAGTGTCCAAGAATTATAAAAGGGTAGACAAAAAGTGTGTCTGGATTTATGTGATCAGCTTCAAACTTTGACACCTAAGTTCTTTGAATGTTTCGAAAGTATAATTCAACTGTTCCTCGTACAAACATTTTTAACAATGTGATGTTTCACATTGCCGGCTAGTCCTAGTCTTCTTGGTTAAAAAAATAATACATATCTAAACCCATTGTCGCATTTGCTTTCGATGAAATCTTATCATGGTCTATACTGTATGGTTTTCAGAATACTGCTGAGAAGGTAAGTTAGTCTTTAATAGGAATTGGTCGTCATCGTTTTAACATTAAGTACTTCAATAAATGTTCATTTTAAAATGCGATGTTGAGATATATATGAATGCACTTTTTGACGAAATGCTTTGTGTTGTAACTTCTACTTTATTTTCTTATTCATATCAGAGGTTTAGTATTTTTACTGAAAATTTCAATAAGACTAAGATAGATGTTCGAAAGTTATCAGTTCACCTTATAATAACTTTAAGATGTACAGCCTGTAACTGTCACTTAGATTTTATAAACACTAGAAAGCAAGTTGGTAATTTAATTTTAAACCGACCACCTTGTCATTTGTTCGATCTCCTTGAGAAAGTTTAACTAATTGACTCGCTACAAACAGGTCTGGGACTACTATCATGGAGTTTTGGAGCGGTTAATTGGTAGTTTCAGATGATTTATCATGACAGTCTCTGGAGATACGAAAGTTGTCAGCTTCGTTAGTTGTAAACTTCTTTAAAATCTACATATTACCAAAGTGACTGGTCTTCCGTGGATACAAAGGTTGTTTATATTGTAAGTGAAAAAAAACGCGTCATTAGTGTTAAAAATGTGTCAAGTAGAAAATGAATACGTGGCACGTTTTATACATTAGTTGTAGATATTGTAAGACTTAGTGTTTGATTACAGCTACGTTTTAGATAACTGGCTAAATGTAATGTTAGCCATCAGCAACGTACAATATTTACTTTTCAACGTGAAGTATGTGGGTTGAGATTCATTAAGTATTACAACCTAGTAGTGCAGTGTGAACTCAGCAATTTACTTATTTACATTCAAAAATCACACCGTTTTGTTATTTGTATGCTGAAGTTTTTGAGTAGCTTCTAATTATAAATAGTAACCAATGACCTTTGTTTCTTAGTTGTGCTCATTGAAATTAGAGTCTCATGATCTACACGCATTGCTGGACTAAAAACTTCCAATGTATAATAAGTTTCACCAATGTTTTTAATAGCGTATTAGGCATACTTTACACGTTTTCGATTTGCTAACGTTTTATTTTGTATTTGTCAGTATCATATTTAAACTGTAAAAAATAACAAGGGACTCATCCACTTTTAGTCTATTGTTATGATGATAATTTGTATTATCAATCAAATAATACTTGGGTTTGGTAAGGTTCATGATAGTACTGTCAGATTAATTTTAACGTATCTAGAGTTTCACTAAGAAAATACACTTGGAACAGCAGACGTTATTGTCAATCATTGAGGGATTTTTGAATAGGAGAAAAATACTATTAGGCAACTATTATGTTTAATGGTTTCTATACTTTCATGAATTTTAAATCATAACTCCAGATTTATCAAAACATGATTTAATTAGTTTTGAGATTTGCGATTCAATAGTGTTTTATGACTGAAATTGAATAAGTGTTATATTTAATGCTTAATCGGTTTTTCGCTACCCATAGCTTGCTAAATATATCATGTTTCTTAATTGTATGTATATGTAAATGCTTGATGTTGCATGTATATACATGTAAAACCAAATGCTTCATTGTTGTTCTGACAAATTCTTAGTGTATGCATATATATATTACTTCTCTTGGCGAATCAATTTTAATCTATTTTCCTAATACATGATTATATTTCACAGTCTGTCAGTTCTTACATATATATATGTCGTCCTTATTTTTGTTTTATTGGTGTAATATTAATCGAACTATGTTGTCTTGCTGATTACAAATATATTGCTTCTTTTTGATAAATTGTTTCCCAGATATTTAGTTTCGTAAGGCATGATAATCGATTCATAAGAGTCAATTCTACACATAAAATGTTTTAAACTTAAAAGACAACAAGATAAAACTGTCTGTTACTATCATCAGATGGTTAAATGATTGACTTTATGGAAGTAGTGAATAAATTTATTTCCAAAAAAAAACATAGAGTTTGTATTTGTGATGGTCTGTGTTTCATGAAATAACTGTGAATTATTCAGAGAACATATACGTACTATACCTTCACATTTTCTAGTGTTAAGATTTTTTATTTGGTTAAAATAGTGTTTATTTTCTAAATTCCACCAAATAAAACTAGGGACTATAAATGAGGCAGTTTAACAAGTAGTTTATGCACAAATGACAAGCTTTAAATGCATTGTTTTACCTTTTATATCATTTTATTTTTCACTGGTCAGATGAATAACTTAGAGCTATTTAGAATGATTTGGGACCTGAATAGCTTAAAAGAATATTATTGAACGTTTTGGTATGGTTTTCTCTTTTGGAAATAGGTAGTGATATATAATAGGTTGCTAAGTAAATTTTAATTCCTCATTGAATATGAGAAAAATATAGGAGTTGAATACGACTAAATGGATAGGACACATTTCAGATATTCACTTAACTACGTCTTGATTAAAGATCTAACGTGGAATCCTCAAGGCCAAAGAAAAAGAGGAATACCGAAAAACACATTTCATCGCAGATCGGAGACAAACATCAAAAGAATGAATGGCATTTGGGAACAACTAGAAGAGCGCAGAACAGAGTTAGTTGGAAAATTCTAGTCGGCAGCCTATGCTCCATGGAGGGTAACAGGAACAATTAAAATAGTAAAGTAATACAACCAAGTAGGATGTCACTTTCTTTCTTCTCGATCACAAACTGAGCATCCAAGAAAATTGAAAATAAACTTCTGTATGGATTTTTCTTTATCTTTGTCAGTCATTTAATACTGTAGCGTTTAAAAAAAGGTAGAAATACACTCAAAGAACAGAAGTTAAGTTAGCTAATTTTGATTTTAAAAGTGGTATAATCAATGGTTATTTTCTGTAGAAAGTATCCTCTGGAGCATAAAACCAAGCCCTATAGTATTCTAGTTATATGTTAAGTCTACAACATTAAAATAATATGGGCTATCGATTCACATCGAAAATACTATTCATGACGCGTTGCATAAGTAGAATGTTCAAGTAGATATTGTTATGGTCAGATATATGATTTATGATATATATATATATATATATATATAATATATATACCTCACAATCCAATTTCCCGATAAATGCTTCCTTCTCACTCAAGTAACTGGTTTGGCGATGTACAGAAAGCTTGAGTATCACTATAAGAATACAACATTGCACAGCACAAGAGAGAGACAAGTCTGAACTACCGTAAATGCAATGCTGCTTACATCACCTGTATTCCTATTTTGTGATATCCACAAGCAAACTTATTGCACCATTGTCGTGTTATACTGTCTATCTATTTAATCATACTTTTCTATACTCTTCTAGTTCTTTTATCAGAAAGCAGATGAATTAGATAGTTGGGAAAAGCAACTTAAACGTCTTCACTCTTCACTTCTTAATTTGGTATCGGGAGACAATGGTAAGTGTTTGATTGATTTAAATTTATTTTTCTAATCCAAATGATTGTAAATTGAAAATTATAAAATATGTACTGTCCAGGCTGTATTACATGTATTCTGCATAGTCAATGAATTTCCTGACTTTCATCTCTTGAAATGGGATCACTTTAAACACGAATCCAAGCTTGTTGTTTTTATTCGTTAGATGTATTGTTCGTTTGATTACGGGTGGTTGATAATTATTTATTTCAAGAGACTAAACTTTTCAATGTCACAAGCTGAATAATGTTGAGAAAGTTGAATTAAAAAAGTGTAATGATTTGTGATGGTTTAATTCTGAATGCTTTTCGTGTACCGTAGTTTGGAAGTACTAACTAGACACCAGATTTATCTACCACGCTCGACCATAGCGGCTAGCTTTTAGTGGTGGTTGGGCTTGTATATCGTGATGACCCAACCGAGCTATATTGGCTGGAACATATGTTCCTGAAGGTTCTACCATGCCAGGCAGGTCGATTGGAGAGCGATGAGACTAAAAGCAGATACTCAAGGTCTGAGGGCGAAGTCGTACAGCTGACTGCAGAAGCGTATGACAGCAGTAAGGTGTTTCCCTCAGACAACCAGCATCTGCATCTTACAAGGAAGGAAGGGTTAGAAAAGGTCGACCCTAAAAATGCCACACCCCACCCTACCTCACGGATTTCCGTCTCCGGCAATAAGGGCTTTTAAACAAGAATGCAGCTAACACTTTTCAAAAACTTTTCATAAAAAGGCCGTGCATGACAAGCCTCAAGCAGTTGTCCCTTGCACTCTGCGGTCACGCTCTCAGGTCTCTGAGACCGACACTAATCTACCTTCCTTTTCACGTTCCTCAAGAAACACCCACCGTGTGGGCAGCCGAGAAGTGACATCCTCCCCCATACCGTAATAGCACGCGAGACTAAATTGGTCAAAATGAAATCCTTCCTACACTCCCTAACATCTCTCTTATCTCCACGACTAACTCTTCTCACATTCCTTTATCACACTGCACCGCTAATGCAAACGATGCGAGTTCCCGAAACGTCATTCCTGGTCTCCTGAAACCCCGTTCTAAACTACATTTTGGATCTTTTAATGTCCGGACATTGTGTCAAGTAGGGCAACAGGCTTTATTAGCTTGGACTTTAGAATCTCGCGCTATCGATGTATGCTGCGTCTCGGAAACGCGCATACAGAATCCCAATAAAATCATTCATTTGACGTCACCATGTCAAGATAAAGAAGCAGATCGATTTACTCTGTGTGTATCCGGTAGCCTTGATGCTGCTTCCAGGGTTCTCGCTCGTGTAGGTATAGCATTGAGTCGTAGTGCAGAACTACCGCTCCTTGACTGGAACCCAGTAGATAGTTGCTTATGCGCTGTCCGACTAAACGGGCCAGTAAGGACTCGTAAATATAGGGACACTCGCCGTTGCCTTTTCGTCGTATCTGCCTATGTCCCCACTGACTGCAGTTCAGACGAGGTTAAAGATGAGTTTTACAGAAAGCTTTCGGACCCCCGAAAAGCTAGGCACTCTGATATAGCATTAATGGCTGGTGACTTTAATGCTCAAGTTGGTAGACTGATTGAAAATGAAAGACACCTGGTTGGATGTTATGGTGTTGCAACTGTGCTCAGATAACTCCTATTCCTAGTAAACACTAACTCTAGGTATAAGGAAAAGCATCTCTTGACCTGGTGATCTCCAAAGTCGTCTCAACGTTGGACCCAACTAGATCACATTGCCATCAGCCACCGATGGAGGGGTTCAGTAGAGGACCGTTGTTCGTTCTGGGGCACATGTCTAGACTCAGATCATGCTTTAGTGCGAGCGTGTATTTGTCTGCGACTTACTGGACGTAGTAAAGACACGACAAGAAAATCTCTTAGGGTTCTGCTTAATGATAGCATAGCTAAGAATATAATTCGGGAGCGACTAGAACAACAGTTAGGCGACCATGCAAGTGATTCCCATCCGGAGGCAGGTTGGAATGATATGGAAAAGGCTGTGGAAACAGCAGTAATATCTGCTCGCAAGGTAAACCATAACGCTGGGAAGAAGCCATGAATCTCAGTGGCATCCATCGAACTGATAGACGCTCGTAAACTCACCCCACCTGGCTCTAAACATGATGAAGAGCGAAGTCAGCTTAGGCGCAAGCTGATAAAAAGCCTACGCATTGGTCGTGAACGGTGGTGGGTAGTGACAACGATAGCGATGGAAATGGCAGCGGCGATAGGTAACAGCAGGCAGTTGTTCCGACTTATCAAGGTAGAATCTGGGAACTGATCGTAATTCCCTCTGACTGGTCTCAATCACTGATTGTCCCAATCTATAAAAAAGGACAAAAGTCCTCTTGTGACAGTCACAGAGGAATAAGTCTAACTAGCATAGTATCTAAAATATTGTCCTCAATAGTACTCCGAGGCTTGATGGAAGCTCATAAAGAGCAGAATCGAGAAAACCAGGCTCGTTTTCGACCTGGATGTGGATTTACAGACCAAATATTCACACTACGTCAGGTTTTAGAACAAAGACACGTTCAGACGCCCCTCAACAGTAATATTTCTCGACCTTAAAGCGGCATTCAACTCTGTCGATCGTGAGGTTCTTTGGCAGTGTCTGCCATTAAAAAGTGTACCAGAGAAGTACATTAACCTTGTACAAGCTCTCTACTCGAACAGCACTGGTCGAGTTAGAGCTTATGGAGAACTGTGATCGGAATTCTTTACTTCAAGTGGTGTCCGTCAGGCCTGTGTACTCTCTCCATTCTTGTTTAACTTTGTCGTGGACATGCTTTTAGAATTAACACTATCTTCATCTGACTTTTCGGGGGTGGACCTTCTACAAGGAGACAGAAAGCTCGATTGGCTTTTGCCAACTTGCGTCACTTATGGCCATGACCGGATATCATGTAACTAACGATTTAAGATCCAAAAAATGTTTTTCCTTTTTGGGTTTAAGTTTTATTTTGTTATTATTAACTTATGGCGTAGGCGAGATATCCGTTTGCTAACCAAAGGACAAGTGTACTGCACAGTAGTTCGCTCCGTCCTACTATATGGATGCGAAACATGTGCTTTAAGGGTAGAGGATATTCTTAGGTTATCAGTATTCGATTATATATGTCTTCGGAGCATTGCTTGTATATCCTGGGACAAGCGAGTAAGCAATGCAGTTGTTAGGAAACGGGTCCTTGGTAAGGGTGGCAGAGTAGTAGATGAAGTATTGATATTTCATCAGTTGAGGTGGTTGGGACATGTGTTGCCTATGCGTAACCATTGACTACCTCGTCGAGCTATGTTTTGCGACGTAGCAATAGGTTGGAAGAAAGCTAGGAGCGGCCAAACCAAAACATAGCAGAAATCCATGAAGTCACTGACAAGTGGACTGAGTCATGTTGGTAGATGTGCGCTGCTTGGCTGTCGTCCGCGAGATGATAATAATCGGTGGTTAGAAACCTTGAACGACATGGCTCAAAATCGTTTGCAATGGCGCAGGTGCATTTATTATTTGTATTCTCTCAAGTGCTAACCTGAATTATTCATCGAGCTCTGCATTTATTATTAGTATTCTCTCAAGTGCTAACCTGAATTATTCATCGAGCTCTATGTTTCTCTTTCTCACTGAGTTACACTTCTCGTATCATATCTTCTAACTCTAATCTTCTCCATTACTGCTAATGCTTCTACTATCTCTACCACTACGAGATTTGAACTGACAAATGCGTCTCCGTGCTGATTGGGTATCACAACCTGAACTTATGTACTCATGTACGAAGTTCTACGTTGTAACTGACCGACTGACTGACTTTATTTACCACGATATGGTAGTTAGAGGTAACACCAGACTAATGTGAGAATTATGCCTTATGAGAAACCAAACCAATTCTTCATTGATAATCGTCACGTCCTCAGTTCCGTTTGCTTAATCTCGGAAGTTGCAAGCTCCATGGGGTATGATAGAGAATAAAAAAATAATAAAGTTAAAAAAGAACCCATGTATTTTAGACATGGCTCATGTAGTTTAAACAGGTTAGTTGGAATGCATATTTACCTACAACTACTTAAACATTCGTTACATACCATAATGGCTTAAATTAACCGAAAATAGACTTCTTGGATAGAAAAGCGAATGTTAGCAAATTAAACAGTATTTCGAAAATATTAAATGAAGGTTCTTTATACATTTAATATCCGTCAAATAGGAGATGGCGTTTTGTAACCAGCTTCTTTCAATATAAAGTTTAGAAACAGAATTATGTAGTTGAATGTGTTGACTACCTCATCCTTAACTATGACGAGCTAGTGGCCTGTAAAGTTTGACTTAACATTTCACAATATTTACAATCTAGGACACTAACATAATGTCCTAGTACCCTAATAGTTCACTAATGAAAGTACTTTCACCTACCTTTTGGACTAATAACCTTGACTGCATGTAATAAGTTAATCAAATAGGTTTCGTAAAGACGGCGTGATGTTTCAAAAAAGTATTGTTAATAAATCTATAAGCTTATGGAGCTTTGGGAACTAAATTAACTTCTCTCTTTGCTAAACATATTAAACCGTAGTTTTCTGTCACTTGTAACTACGGCTAAAGTAGATCAAAACATTTTCAATTCTTTGAAAAAGTGAACTATAGAAGAAGTTGACTTACATTTCTACTGGCTTCACGTACCCAGTTTAGTGTTGTGTTAAGTGAAGCCATCATTTGTTTCATACATTTGAAGTTGCTATTGCCAGAGTGAAAAGGAAAGAAAGAGAAACATATGCTAGTCAAACCGTAACTATGCATGAGCTTGGTATTTATCATCATTTAGGCTGAATTGCTACTGTTTGTAACAAACGAACATTGATATTAAAAAGTATCATACATTTATAAGTGCATCTCAATTGTCAAAGAACAGCTTTGCGTCATTGAGTAATCGATTCGAACATCTATCCAAGCACTGCAGTTTGACCAACCTCAATATCAGTATTGATCGCGCGTTAACTTCATTTCAAGGCGAAGCAGGAGAACATAGTTCAAAGTTGCATCAACTTGATTTTAAATTACTGTTAGTTAAGAAACAGTTGTTTAATATTATTTCAGATCTAGCAAGCGCTGAAGCTGGCTTGTCTCGTGCAGTTCTTCTCTTGGCTAATATAGAAGAAAACACTGGTTTAGCTCAAGCACTTCATCATTTGGCAGAAACAGAAGAACATATCGCTGATTTACACGCTTTACAAGCAGAAGCGCATACGTGCCATTTACTGGAGTATTCTCGTGAATTATTAGGCACGATTCAGGCTTGCAAAGTAAGTTTCACTAAATTGACCGAGAAATTAGATGTTGAGTTAATGATTGGTTTGTATCGTACTACTGACGCTCTATAGCGTATTATGTTGTTTAATGATCGATACATTTTTGTGAAACCCTTTCAAAACATTTGTTAAAACTGCTACCTTGAAAGTGACCTTTTCTAATTGTATTCTAGGTGAATTACTGGTGAAAAAACAAGAATTTTTTAAAACTCTAAAGATGTAGAGTTTTCAAACCCCCCTTTATTTTGTTGATAAGAGAGTTTTCTACTCTCTAGTTATAAACATTATGTTCCGTAATGACTTTACTGTGATTAGTGTGATTAGGTGTTTTTTTTTCTGTATATTGCTTTAAATCATTTGATTAGTTATTAATTATAAGTTGTCTTTCAAGTTATTGATCAAGATATTTGGAGTACAATGTAGCAGATTAGATAAAATGTACAATAAAATTAACATACATCAACTACTTATATGAGACTACGCATAATTTTAGAATTAAAACGAAACTGTAATGAATAAAGAATCATACGTCATTACTATTTCTACTATCACCATAAATCTAGGAATATAATCTCTTTATTTGAATTAAATTACATGGTGGTTGAGAAACTTTTAAATGACAATGTTACACGTTAATTGATATGCTTGAACTATTACGAGTTTACCTTAGTCGGAAAACGAGAGTGAGGATCGAGGATCTGGCGACACGACAGGCTACTCTAATCCGAGTGTCCCAAACCCCCATTGAGTAAAAGAATAAGACTTGATATGAAGTAGAACATGTATTCTACAAGCATCCCCTAAGTACGAGGTCCGAGTCCAGAACAGGATAAGGATCCCGGACTGAGGATCCTAGTCATAAAACGTTACAGATAATGCGTATTTATGCAGTTAGGTCGAATAGGAAACAACATTGAAGTTTGTGACATTGACAGTTAGGACGACCAATAAATAGGAAACAACATTTGAAGTGACATTGATAGTCAGGACAACTTATGGGAAACAACATCAAAGTACGTGACACTGATAGATAGTACGACCATAATATTGACCAGTAAAAATTGACCAATAGAATTAGACTTACAAAAATAATTCTCTTAGGATATTTGATGAATATCCTAACAGATAAATAGCAGTATCAGTCAGTCAGTCAGATGCAACGTAGAACTTTTTACGTAAGTACATCAGTTCATGTTGCCATACCACATCAGCACAGAGATATAATTGTCAATTCAAATCCAATAGTAGTAGAGGTAGTAAAGGTGTTAGAAGTAGTCGGAGAGGTTAGGATTAGAAGATATTATTAAAGAAGTATGATTCAGTGAGATAAGTTTAGAAAGACAAAACTAGAGGTGTTGAAGAATCCAGAAGATTAGGATTTGAGAGAACACAAAGAATAAATGCACCTGCGACATTGCAAACGGTTTTGAGCTATGTCATTCAAGGTCTCTAACCATCGATTACAAGCATGTCGCGGACCCCAACCAGGTAGTCAATAACTACCAACATGATTCAGTCCACTTGTCAATGACTTCATGGATTTGTGTCATGTTTTGGTTTGGTTGCTCCTAGCTTTCTTCCAACCTATTCCTACACTACAAAACAAAGCTCGTCGCGGCAGTCGGTGGTTAGGCATACGCAGCACATGTCCCAACCACCTCAACTGATGATGTGTCACTACTGCGTCTATTGATCTGCCGTTCTTACCTAGCACCCGTTTCCTAATAACAGCGTTGCTCACTCTGGTGTCCCACGATATACGAGCAATGCTTCGAAGACACCTATGATCGAAAATCAGTAACCTATGAATATCTTCTTCTCTGACTGGCCATGTTTCACAGCCATAAAGTAAGACGGAGCAAACTACTGTGCAGTACACTCGTCCTTTAGTCAGAAAACGGATATCTCGCCTATACCATAAGTGACGCAGGTTTGCAAAAGCCAATCCGAGCTGAGATTTCGTCAGTCACCAGGCCATCGGCACTGATGAGATGATAGCAGTATAATTAAAAAATATTCAGTTTGATTGATTCAGTTGATGTATTTGTGTTGTCATTCTTAAATAAAATCTCTTTTAATTAATATCATTTCATTGTTTTAAAAAAAAGTCCTTATAAATTTTATCTATATATATATATATTTATAATTTAGGATGTTTTGGGTGGACGTGTACGAATCTATCGTACATGGAAAACTGCTGAAGCCAGTCTTCGTTCAAAACGTGAACAGAAAGTTCGAATGGAAATGTCAAGTAAAAAGGATCATAAAAAAATGGCTGCCATAACGACGGAGGTAGAAGAAGTAAGATAATTTGTTTCTTTTTTATTTCTTCTTCTTCTATCTTAATGCATTTTTCCTGTGATAATTAATTTCAAATAAAATTCTATTCCTTTTTTGTTATGCTAACAAAGAAAAAAGAATATTAGTACTTCAATCTAGTTTGAATTAATAATTTTTTGACAAACTTATTGTGTTGATATACTGATATGACGACCGAGTAAGCAATGCTATCGTTAGAAAACGAGTTATAGGTAAGGATGGCAAATCAATAGATGAAGAATTGAAACTTCATCAATTGAAGTGTTTGGGACATGTGTTACGTATGCCTTACCACCGACTGCCGCG